CGGCGGCGCCGGCGCGGACGGCCTCGAAGCCGGCCCCGCGAGCGCGCCGCGGTGCCACAGCCCTCGGGGGACAGGGAAGGAAACTCAGCCCAGCACGGAGCTCATTTTCAGTACCGGGAAAATAGCGGTGTAATTTCCTTGCATGTTATGGAGTTAATTACCGCCCCTCTGCTCCCCCTTTTTTTTCCCCTAGCAAATTACGGTAGCGCTTACGTGTTAAATAGCCTTCTCGATGATGGATCTAATGTTTTATCACAGGTAAGATGCAATTTAGAAAAAGCGGACAATCTTTTTTAAGGTACAGCCCTGTGGTAAACGCCATAATGAGCCCCTGGCTATAACAGCCAACTGAGCGCAGTTACAGCAGAGGTTCCTTGGCTTTTTTTTTTTAATACACTTGCATTTTCTTTTTATGATTGAGCATGTAACGTGGAAAAACAAAAATCCCGTTTTACAAATATTTTTCTTACATGTTGGAGTCTCATAAAAACAACTCGCCAGCCTGCAGGTCTGTAGTGCTCTTTTTGGCAAGGCCCTTTCACATGTTCATTGGTCAAGAGCTCAAGGTCTCAGCTTGAATTTGCGGATCTTAAATGGAGTTTAGAAGGCCTTGTACTTTTATACTAGATTTTGACTATAATGGGTCTCAATGTTTATGTCAAATGATACCTTACTTCAAGCTGTACGTATGTATATACTCTCTTGGAGTTTCTCACCCAAAGAACAACAAATACAGAAGAGTTTGCATATTAGTTACTATTTATACCTTTAATTTAGAAAACCTATGAGAAATTTAGAAAATGCTCACAGTAGGAAAGAAAAAGTAACCCTTAGTTTTGTTATTAAGAGGTAGTTTTTATGAGTAATAATTTTGAGTATAATTTGTAAGATCATTGGGTTTAACTGAAACAAGCCCCAAACTGCATTTTAAAAGTGTAATTCACTGAAGGTCCAGTAAGTGGCACAAATAGACCTTATAAAAATCACTTCTAAGAAAAATTTTCCAGAAATGTAAAGCAGGCAGGATGCCAAGCCACATCCTTTTTTGCAGGAAGAACTGTTGCATTTACCAAAAAAAAAAATCAAAGAAATAGATGTTCAAAATAGTTTAACCAGACATAAAGGAATTCTCTATTCACCTTCTCTGAACTACTTTGTCAGTAACTGAATTTGTGGTATTAGACTTTACCATCTAAATTACATAATGCAGATTAACACAATTTACAGTTGTATATTTGTTAATATGTTATTTATGCTAATATGTTAATTTGTTAATAACGTTATCATGGATTTGTTATGGTCTTGTAATATTGCATGAGTATGAAAGCTTTTTTTTTTAAGAAAATCCATTATTGAAGTTTCTGGGTTTTTTTTCTGAGAATTGTTGTAACTTCTCTTACAATACAGAGCTAGGATTTCCTGCTTTTTCTTCCTCCAGGGTTTTAAAAAATTGTGTGTGCAGAAATGCAGATGTAAGATTTCATAGGGATACATCTGTCTGAGGACAGTCTTGCCAAAGCTGAGACAGCATCTCCAGTGCTGCCAGCCTACCAAGCCACCAAGCTTTCAAAATATGTTCTCCCTCTCACAAAACCCCACATTATTCTGCAAGAAGAGAGCCACGTGGTGAAGTGCTTCAAGCCTTATATTGTTTTGTCTCGTCTCTCAGTCAGAGCCTGCCTGTAATGCCAACTTAGCATTTTTCCTTATGCTGAGGAGAGATGATGACACATGACAAGGGTGTTTTGCAAGTCCTTTTCATTACAGGGACTTGGCAAGGCACTGGCTCATGCTCTGCCTGCTGTCCTGTGCAGTTAGCAGCATGTGCTTGTTATCAGCACGGAGCAGATGGCTTGAGTTCTTGCTTCTTAACTGGTTTTACTGCCTTTCGGTCTTTTCCAAATGTATGGTATTTACCTGCAAGCAGAAAGGAAAGAATCTATTAAGGCTGGTGATTCAGAATCTAGGAAAGATTTTTATTTTTATTTGATTATCATAGTACTTTTACAAGATAACAAAGCAAAACGAAAAAAAAAGACATTTCAAATGCTGCCTACTTCTTCCTCCTAACTTTCCTTTCATAAACATTTTTCCTTCAAGGACCATACAGTGCCTGAGGAAAACGGTAGATTTGCAGTTTACATTAAAAGCAGGTTTCTATGGAAGAAGGGGCACACAGGATGATCTGAAAACAGGATGCGTTTGGGACACATCCCTCTATTTGGTTCTCTATTTTGGTTTTACTTAGAGATTCATTTCCTTTTCAAAGCAGCCTGTCGTTGACCTGCTAAAGGAGTCAGCTATAACTGATTACATTCAGTCTTATGACCTAAAACTTTTTTTTTTTTTAAGTACACTATTTAGAAAGCAGAAATGCAGCTCCGATCTTTATGTTGCAAGTTAACTAGGATAGAAATATAGCCTGTTTTTGCCAGGTTTGCACCACAGTGACATGGCTTACACAGTACACATACAAGTCCCAGAGAAATTACTTCCCCTTTCCAACTTTCCCTCAGCAAAAAAAAAAAAGAAAAGAAAACTTCAATCTCATTTCAGAAAAAGAACAAGAAACAATCTGCTAGAACAACTAAAGAACATTTCCAGAAGCTGGAAATAATGACAGTTTTTTCTACATAATGAGTGGAAATCTTTTGCTGTTTCAGAGCCGAAGCTCTCTGATGACACGCATAGCACTTGGCGACGTGGGAGGCCGCGCTGGAGCACCCGCTTGCACCCGGTATTACTGTGTTCTCTTCCTTTCCTAGCCTTCTGTGGGAGGGTTGGTAGGATTTGCTGTGTGCTGTTGGCAGAACACAGGGGCGTTTACTACAGGACATCTTTCAAACAGAGCACGGTCTCCAAGGAGATGTATACTGGCTCTTCTGAAAATAAGAATTCACCCTAATAATGCTTCTTGTGATACATAAAGTGTGGGTAGGTGTCTCTGTAGTATTATCATTAAAACTACTTAGATTTCCATGTATTCACCAACTTGAAGCTGCGCTCAGAACTAGTTTCAAGTTCTGCCTGTGGTTTTGTTCATACTGGTGAAGTATGAAGTGTAGTAATTTTTAGGTGAAGTATGAAGTGTAGTAATTTTTAATTGGATATACGTTTATGGTAGAAACTCTGGGAGGTGTTCAGTGGGTTTAAATATGGCTTATGCTTGGATAGTTCAGATTCATAAGGGAATTTAAGCAGCTCTCCTTTTATCATTAATCTTAACTTGCTAACAAACCTTGAACTTCATGGAACTTACAGATAAGAATCTGATAGTGCTTGTCCTTTCTGGGATTGAGGGAGACCAAACTGTACATACTCTGTAGCTTTTCTTGTTAATGCTTGACTTAATCTGTTTGATATAAAGTTCTGCCGCATACACACATATATATACCCACATACGAAGAATTCTGACATTTAGCACATATTGAATGCACTGAGACAACGTGTAGAACAAGCATAGAAGTATCCACCTGCAGATAGGTGTGTTTACCAGAACTGGCAATAAAGGGGCAGTTATTTAAAGGAGTATCACATGACAGCCAAATGGTAATAAATTTCAGTGGCATCTGCCAAAATCAGGGTTGTTAAGGTTATACATAAAAACTAATATTATATTAATTAGCAGAGTCCAAAAGTTAAGGAGCAGAGCTCACGTCCAAGACTTGGACCTGTAGACTCCAATTAGTGACAGAATAACAGGATCTTGGATCTGTGAATGTTTCAGATAATTATATTGTTTTCTAAAGCCTTGTGTTTAGACAATTAAGACTTAGAAATTCCTACAATTTCATACATGCTGAATGAGAACTTTTTAAAGAAGGTTTGTCACCCAGTATGTGTTCTGTAGGGGATCTTTTATACTTAGCTATTCTTCTATTTGAGGAGAGGGAAGAGAAAGATTTTTGAAAGCTGAAGTAACATGTCTGTCTTTCCTTTGAGACAAGTAGAAATGAGAATGAGAATTAAGGAGCAAGGCTATAGTCTATTATATTCCTACAAATATAGATGTCAGTAAACTCATCACAAGTATTTTTTTAATGTGTATGTAAAGATTGTTATATTTACTGCATTAGAATCATGGGAGTAATTACGTTTTGCTACTCATGCTAGTGCCTTTCTTGACAAGATCTCAGTGTTTTAACAGATTCACTTACATTTCAATGACTAAGGGAGTTTTGCGGTATCTTGGTTGGG